CCCAAATATATTTTTTGCTTGTACACCTTTTGAGAACTACAGGGAACTGAGTAAAATTCTTGGCTTTTTTTGGAAAAAATTGGGCAGTGTGAAAAACATGATAATGTGGGAAAGTACAGGAAGGCTATTTGGTTTTCTACAATTTGAGGGGTGTGTGCATCTTTTGTGTACATCCACAGTGAAGCTGAATCACAACAGAGCATTGGGGGAGAACCGAATTGCTTCTGAGCATTGTCAGTAGGGGCAAACAGTCACATAGGGTGAAAATGTAGCCATGTAAGGAATGTAGGTATGTAAATGCAAAACAAGTTGTTATGTGAGGTGACGCACAATGTTTTTCTGTGATTTAAATACCTAAAATGTGTCATTTGTGTGTCTTCGCAGAGAAATAGATTTCTGCCCTGTATGTATACTGCAGTATTAGGACGGATGTACATATCCCTCTATGATGTGATGCATATAGAAGTAATGCATTTACTTATATATTTGAGGACCATGTGCTTAAAAATATTAGATTTCAACATAATAAAAATATGGCAAAAATGAAATTCAGTAAAAATGGAAATGAAGTTATTCAAATAATTTTATGATTTCTCTTTTCTGTTTTCTAACTCATTCCACATTGGTGCTAGAGTGGAACTTTTGTTTCAGAAAGGCTATTAGATTCAGGAAAATATTAAAAGGTATAACATCACCTTGTAACTTAGTGTTAACAGCTAGTCTGGATTAAAATCTTTCTTCTTGCTAATAGGATGGATCATTAAATAGCAAAGTGCATGATTTCAGACTTTAATGGTCAGTGCTATCTTAAATGCATCAAAATAACCCCTAACTGTATCTCTGTGAAATGTTAAAAATCAAGTTTTGATATGTTTAAATCAATTTTCTTTTGAGTCAATTTTTATTTCTTAAGGGGCAAACAGAGTATTCCTCAATAGTTATGGTTTGATGGGAGGGAGGGAGCAATTTTGTTATCCATCAGCTAACACATTAAAATTTTATGTCAGAACAAGTTGTGAGGAAACAGATGTCCTAGCCCCTTGTCACACTCCAAGTGCCCCAAAATGTTGCTGTGACCAAATGGAGTCACAGTTGGGGATGCTTTATAGGTCAGGGCATCTGTTCATTTATTATATATCCTAGGATTTCCCTGTCAGGGGGATTCCTGCAGTGTATATATCAGGTTGTCAGACCCTGATTCAGGTTATGCATCTGGAAGTGGAGGACAATAGCCTTGGGTGACATCTGTAAACGCCAATGAAGTAGATCAGGTGTACCAGCACATATTCTGACACAACTGATTCTGCTCCAAATATGACATCTGTTTTATACCTTTAGAAGCAGGAGGTTTTTGGTGGTATCCTTTATTGGACCCACTTTATTATTTCTAGACATGTTTTTTGGCACAAACACTGAGAAGCAATGACTAGAGGTAGGGCATTCTGCACCTGAAATTTGTCTATAAAGCTGATCCAATATAAGATACCAACAAAAATAAAACTTCGCTTCTCGCTTATTTCCTAGACCATTATGGTTACAACAACATTTGAACCCTTTTATTTCTTACTGATTTATCAAGACTTTTATTCTCTTTTTTGGTTGCAGGGATGACGTGTCAAGCCCGAACATCATATACCGAAGATGAGGTTCTTTGGGGTCACCGTTTTTTCCCTGTTATTTCCTTAGAGGAAGGATTCTTTAAAGTAGACTACTCCCAGTTTCATGCAACATTTGAAGTACCTACCCCACCATACAGTGTGAAGGAACAGGAAGAAATGCTTCTTATGTCCTCTCCTTTAATAGCACCTGCTGTAAGTAACAGTAAAGAAAGGAATAATTCTACAGAATGTCTAGATGGTCTAGATGACATTAGTACAAAGTTACCTTCAAAACTGCAGAAAATGACTGGAAGGGAAGACTTCCCCAAAAAACTACTACGGATGAGTTCTACAACTTCAGAAAAGGCTTACAGCATGGGGGACTTGCCTATGAAACTTCAGCGAATAAGCTCAGTTCCTGGTAACTCAGAAGAGAAACTGGTATCTAAAACTACAAAGATGATGTCAGATCCTATGAGTCAATCTATGGCTGATTTGCCACCAAAACTTCAGAAATTATCAGGAGGAGGCGGCAGAATGGAGGGGAATCTTCCACCAAAACTGAGGAAAATGAATTCTGATCGATTTACATAACATGAATAGACTTTTAGGTATTATTTAAAGATTGAATTCCTAGAAAATCAAATTTGAGCAGAAAAATAACCCCCCTGAAGAGTGTGATAACTAAAAGGTGAAAGTTTCCTCCAAATTACATGCAACTTACAACATCCATATTCCTCCCAGATAACGGTGACTGTACTGTAAGTAAACTTCAAAGATAAAAGATCTGAAATCCTTCTTGGGGTTATAGAGAGCTAATATTAATTGGCATGTAGTATCACACCAAGCATGCAATAATAGTGTGCAATTTTTGCATATAGTTTTATGGCATGATTCTTACTTAATTTATATTGTATATTCTGAAAAATATGTAAAGGGGGTGTTCCTCTCCCCGATATTTCTTAAGGATAAGTAGTAGGTAAAAAATGAGTGGGTAACTTTCAGGGCAAGTTATAATTTAATTTAATTTTTCTTTTCCTGATATAGTCTGTGCTGTTTTGTTCAAACAGAGTAGTTATGGTGCACGTTTTCTTTCCTAAGCCAAGGTTATAGGCATTAGCCAATTCTAAACACCAAATCTCTTAGCCTTAAGTCACTTCCCATTTTATAATTTGCTTTAAGATCTTTTTTTCCCCTGCCATTAGGACACAAGGAGAAATTAAAATATACTTCATTTGAGGTATTGATAAAAAAAAAAAAAGAAAAAGAAAATTTACTATTTAGGGCTGGGCCAAATAATCCCCAAATAGATTTTAGTTAGATGGAGCAAAGTACAAAGAAATTTGTGAAATACTTTTGTTTCATGGTTATTAGTATAAATATAATAAAACACTTCAAAATAATTATTTTGCTTGATTTTTGGTGCCAATACTATTGGCCCAATATGGAAATGATATAAATTATTTCTTAAAAACAAGTACATACATTTCGTGGGTGATATTTTTTCCTTAGTAAAGTCTAGTAAAATTCCCCTTGATCTCAGTGGCACTAGGGCTTCAGCCTCCATTTTAGGGGCCAACTGCAATAAACTGAAATAAAACTGACTCTTACTTGACTGTAAGTAGGCCTCCTTTAATGATTAGGGATCTTACAAACTGAATTGACTTTTTCTAGGTTGTCAAACTTCTATTGCACATCCAAAATATGTCAATATGTTAATGTTTTACACAAAGCTTTCCTAAGCAACTTCTACTGTTTGGGACTATTTTCTAAGTGATTAAAAGGTTTTTAAATTTAAAAAATAATCTCAGATGAAGTTGCCCCAAAGAGTATTAAAATAAAAAATGCCAACTTTTCATAAATGTGTGAGGTTCTAATCTTACTTTTTTATTTGTTTGTTTTCATTTTTCTTTGTTATGATGTTTTGGCATAGTATATGTACCTGTAGTCAGCTGTGGGTAAGCAGCATTTGGTTAGCCATATTCTGCTCAAAGGAGGGTAGCTATCTTAATACACTTTCCAACCTCCCAAAAATTAAACGTCTATACATCACAGCATCTGATAAAACCCAGTAAACGATGACAAAATGACATTACCAGTAGCACAACCATCCAGAAGTCATGTGGTCATTAAGATAGGTCTGGCTCTTGAGGGTTTCCATATTGGCTCATCAATAACAGCAAAAAAATAAAAAAAAATAATAATCTTGGTCTCAAATTGTTTGAAGTTATTTGTATTTTATTAACCAGATGTATTTTGGGACCACAGTGAATAGAATATTTTACTCTAATCAGCATGTATAACTAGAACTGATTTCTGTAATATATTGGCAGTTCTGACTCAAAGGGCTTTGGACTATGTAAATGAGATTTAAACGAGTGCATATTTTAGCACTGTATAAATAATAACAACAGTAATAATAATAACAGATCTACCAATATGTGTATATGTTCATTTTTTGTACCTGGTTGCAAGGAATGTAAAGCAAAGTGTTCTATGTTGCTAAGTGAGTAATACAACAACTGGAGCTCAGCGCTTTTCCTGGGAGTTACAGTACATGATCTGTCATCTGTGTACTTTTGGATTTCATGGTTACTTCCAAAGTTTTTCAGAGTTTATAATGATTTGTGACCTGCATTGCATGCTTCTACACCTTCAGCTAAATTGTCAGCCCTGTGCACGTTATTGTTAATGGGAGTTGTGTGTGTAATTCCCTGCGTGCTAGTACCATGCTCTAATGCCTAGTGAGCAAATTTCTAGTGTTACAAAACAAATTCTGAAAAATTGTAAACTACTTTCCCCACTTTTGTTGGAACTCTGCAAGAGAGAGTTTCTTGAAAAAGACATTTAGCTTCTGCACTAGGCAAAGCTGAAGGCCCTATCAAAAACCATGTCTGGAACTTCCATTTCCTTTGTTTAAGTTTCTGCAGCATGGAAACTAGGCAGTTATTTTATTATTGGATCTTACTCTAAAGATAGTGACATTAGTAGCATTTCCACTTGAGAAATTTTGGAGTAAATTTGTGTATAAGAAATGAGTATAGGGAAAAATATTAATTGAACATTGAAATACAATGAGAATTTGCATTGTCCTAGAAAATACAAGGCAACGGTTGGTGAACAACAAGTTATTTAATAGACTAAATAGCTTTGCTCTGAAATGGGAAGGTATTCTCTTTTTTATCCGATTTTATTTTTGATGCTGCAGCATACATTGCAATTGAAAATGTTCAGTTATGATTCATTCATAAGAACTGAATTTAAGTAAATCATTTATCTTTCCCTGCTGGGAATGAGGCTGCTGAGCCCTGTGGCATGTAGTACAGTATGATGTATGCTAATATTAAAATATATATGTTTTTCATTGATAATACACTGAAATCAGAAACATGGATGATAAATTACTTTTGTAAGTTTTTAGAAACTACTGTTATTTTGGGTTAATATTTCATTTCTACCAGTAAAACCAGTCATTTCATAATTTACATTTTAGCCCAGCCCTATTGCTTATGCTAAAAAAGTACTTCTGTTTGACTGCACAGCAGGTCTGTGTTCTCTACTGCTGAATTTATGCTTGAATTATATTGTAAATTGTATATATTCAGATTCAAATCAACTAAATGCATTTTCTGGCATGCTATCTATAATTGTATAAATGTATAAGTTTATTTCGATTATACAAAATTACAAACTCTTGTATTCATTAATACTGCAAGCTCAGTTTTATCTAAAGCTATATTAAACTTTCAAAAATTGTTGGGTTTAAATGTCACTGTGTGTTTGTTTTTTTATCAGATGTATCAAACACCTATGGGTTTTTTTGCAAATGAATGAATGAATGTTAAGTTTTTGTGTAAAATTATTAAAAAACTAAGATAAGTCCTTAAGGTTAGGCATTTACTGTGTAAAATGACTGGTCTGCTTCTAATCAACAAATCCAAACAGAGCATTAGGCAGATCAGATGAATCCATAAGGCAGTAAACAATGTTTCTGAAATTATTTTTGGCCTGATCCATCTCCCAGTAAAGATAGTGGAAAAATTTACACTAACTTCACTGGGGATGGATCATAATTATGGTGACCAGCTGGGAGGAGCTGATGGTCCATGACAGTATTGACCCCTGGCAATCATTAGTCCTCAGAAAATACCTTGCTTAGAAGTCATTATTGCTCACTGCCTGTACAATATTACCTCCAGGTAATTTTGCTTTCTGTGCCTACATATGTCCCTTGTCGCACCTCTCATGAGTCAATACCAAAATTTCTAAGCATTGGGGGGGGGGGGAAAGGGGGCATTCCTAATGTAGAGTAGCTCTGTGTCTCTTTGAGAAGCTTTCACATTAGCTGTCTCTAGAGGTATATGTTAAGTGTTTTCAACTGTTGGTTTTCGTAAACAAATTAGCCTATCAGCCTTTGTTTTCAGCTGGTTCATAACCTGATTTTTGATTTTGTGGGGAAAAATATGCCACAATCAACTGGTGGTCATAAAAATTCCAGCTGGACATCGCAAAATGTGATTTGTGCAGACGCAGCTGTCTCAGAAAATGGAGGGCAACTGAAAATCAGGCTATTAGTTTGAGATATATACCTAAATAAAGCAGATTGAATAAAGCAGAATTTAGTAAATGAAATGTTATTCCCCAGAGAAAAAGTCTGTGAGCTGCTAATCAAATATTGCTCCTGTGACATGCAATGTACTTCTGAGAGTAGGGAATAGATCTGTGGTTATGGAGTGGGAGGGAAATAGAGATCTCACTTCTTTTCTTGATTGAGTCATAGACAGTCTTGGGGCTTTGACACTGGTGATATTTTGTAAACATTTTTCAACCTGCTCAGTTAAACAGAACTTTAGCACTGACCAAAATAAAGTCTGGGTCTGCCTAATTGCAAAACTGGTTTGAAAACCAGTGAAGCCAGTTTAGTCAATGGAGTTTTAGCAGTCTAAAATGGTATACATTACTACTATGCTTCTCCTCTGCTTGAGACCATTGTTTGGCAATAGAGATGATAAAGCTCAGGGAGTTGCAACTTTAAGTTCCACTGCTAATGGGGTCCCTGAGAGATCCTTGACCTGTGGAAAACTGGCATAGCAGAGATCTCACCTCCACTTCCTTTCTTTGCTCTGCAGTTTTTCTTTTTCTATTCCTTTGCATATGTAAACCAGACAGACAGAGGTGCAGACATGAGCTGACACATACATGGCCAGGAAGGTAGTTTCCCTACCCAAAAGAAACTTGTATGAGGAAATAACCAAAGATATCTTAATTACCTTTACAGACAGTTTAGCTAAGCAGGCTTAAAACTGATTTTACTGTTTTCGTGTCTTTAAAATATAATTCTTTTAAATTGTTTTCCTGTTTTCTTAGGAAGATACAGTTCCAAGTTACACAGCCACCACTAATTAGTGTGTGTCCAATTCAAATAAGATCCTTGAATATCAGAAGATTCAAAAGTTCATTTTATTTTCTGAGTTGGATTTGTATATACAAATTAAGTCGTTTCTGAAGTGATCGTCAACTTTTAATACTGAAGCACTTTAATTTTCTGACCCCAAACTCCATCTAAACTCTATTCTAATCTCTCTCTCTTTTAGATAGTAGTAGAAAATATACACGGGTTTAAAATTAATTGGGTCAAGAAATGGAGTATTGATAGCCAGGGATTTGAGAATCTGACTTGGGTTATAATACTACAAAACCTAAAAGTTGCTTTCTTTGGTATGCATGGAACAACAGTTTCCTAATCTAGCCTCGGATGATATTTGCTTGTAGATAATTTTCCATCCATCACGTTGTATAAAGGCCCTTTACAAATACTATTTCCAGTTACAGCAAAGCTCAGTAATTCTGAGTGAGCACATACCAGGGTTCTGAGTCATCCTGCTGATGTCAGCCCCAGATGTTTTAATCAAAGAGTGTACAAGCTGTCTTCCTAGAGATCAGGAAACTAGTGAAATCAGTAGTTTAGTAGACTTAATAATGTGGATAATCCATCAGAGTGTGTCACTCAAACTGGGTCTATGCAAAACTCTTTTCATTTGAACTCCACAATGTGTTTCATACAAGAAATGTGATAAGCTATGAAAATGTTATATCAAGTGTAATGTGATGTGAAAAAATACGGGATCCGGTTTTTGCACTGACAAATGGCATGTTTTTCTCATGTGGCCTGTGTAAAATCAGATACAAAATGTTGCCAAAATCAGTGATAACTTTGGAAAAGGCAAGCTGAATCTCTGTGCCTCAGTTCCCTGTTAGAACAATCTTGCAAAAACTATTGCAAAGGATATTGTGGCGCTCAGCCTGAGGCCAAGTAGGCAAATACATTAAGGCAGCATTCTCCAAGTATTTCCATAGGGCGGCTTGCAATTTTGGGGGGAAGAAGTTGACAGTGTACAGTTTCCCTGCTGTCATTTTTCCATGGCATCTCTGACTTGTCTCTCGCTTTTGTAAATATTTGAGGCTATGGATAGAGAGCAACAATGACCCTGAGGTATAGCTACTAGGGCTTTGCGAAGCTTTGGTTCCTGACTTGGTTTAGTGGAGATTTGGGCCAAATTTGGTGGCTGAATCTCCAAATCTGGATTGAATCAGGAGACCGTTTAATCTCTCTGAATTGAATCGGAACCCTCCAAATTGATTTGGAAAGATTCGATGATTTGGACATAGACACAGCTTTAAATGTTTTTTCTACATACCTCAACGTACCAGGCAGCTTGTGAATGCCATTATGCTGGGGCGGGTGGAGCATCCCACAGGAGAGCGGGGGGGGGGGCGGTCCCCAGAATGCTCAGCAGCAGACCTGGAAGTGGATAAGAAGCATGTCCGGTCCACTTCCGGGTCTGCTGGGGAGAGTGTTGGGGGCCCTGTGTCCCTCTAGCTCAGCGACTGGTGCCTCCTGGGACTGGGGGGGCACCCAGGGTGCCCCGTGGCTGATTGCTTAGCTAGAGGAGAGCAGGGGGGCCCACCATGTGCTAGGCAGTGGGCCCAGAAGTGGACTGGAAATATTTCCGGTCCACTTCCAGGTTCGCCGCTGAGCATGTGGGGGGGGGCATGCTCCTGTGGGATGCTCCATCCATCCCAGCTTTGCAGTGTTCACGAGCCGTGCCTGGTACCTCGTGGTATGTAGAAAAAACATTTAAAGCTGTGTCTATGGCCTAATCATTGGTTCTCGGAATCAGCATTGAATCTTCAGATTTGGATTCGGCTGAATCAAATCAGGGACAGTGATCCGAATGAACAAATCTGAATTGAATACAGCCTGTTTTGCATACGCCTAATAGCCACGTGACTCCCTTGAGCGCCAGTGGCTATGGAAATTGATGTGTCACACACAAACGAGGTCAATGAGGCACTAGGTTCAAGTTCTGGTGGGAATATTTACCTTAGACAAAAGTTATTTTTTCTATGTCTTTTAAATTCCAGTGGCATCAAGATTTGTAACAATAAGGCCAAAAAAAAGTTTAAAATTGACTTATTTTTTTGAAAATGCCATCATGCTAGGAAATGTATGATCAAGATCAAAATAAAAAATAACACTTTAAACCAGGTAGTATTATCTAACCTGAGAAGAATTATTTATGGAACATGTAGGCCTCACATCTGAGTGAATCTAAAAAGCAGTGTTTCCATAACATAGTCAAGGGTGTGGAAATACCACCAGAATATGATTTCATAACAAAAAAGAGAATGTGAAAGAAGTTTTGCACAATTGCATATATGTACAAAGAAGGGGATTTTACCAAGTAGCTTTTCATTAGTTGTATGTGAATGAGAACTTGGTGAAAGACACTAATTTTTTTTTTTAAGTCTAATACCTAGGTTTATTTAAATCAACATAAACTTCTGTTATCATCAATAAAATTAATATTTCACCCTAACTCTATATGCATTTTAAAATGGTAAGATCCTTTCCATGTATCCTATTTTTTCCAGTCATTCTATATCTTTTGTTTTTCAGTTTAAAGGAAATTTTGCACTCCTGAAGAGTGGGAGTACAGAAATAAATTGAAATTTGATTCAGTGTTTGCCACAGTATCAGTGCATATAGTGATATATAATTACATCTTAACAAAAGGGAAAGATTTTGATAGAGGCATAGTAGGTAAGTGAATTCCTTTTTTCCTTATTTTCAATAAGTTACTGGAATCAAATATTTCATTTCATCCTATGCTTATCAGTGTGGTTTGAGGTCCAATTATGCATGATGATACAGTATTCTACCTTACACTTGTCTTGATGTATTTTTCTTGATGTATTCACTTCTCTGGTACTTTCCACACACATACACAAACTACAAATACATAATGAAATGCAATTACAATTGCAAATATTATAACCACAGTATGTTATTTGTCCATCATCCAGACCATTGTCTATTTAAAAAGAAAAAAAACCCACTATGTCCTATACCCACTTCTAATCTGTACCTGAAAGTAAAAGAAAAACCTGTGGCAGCCTTAAATAAATTTTAATTTAAGGGAAATTAAACTGCCATATTCTTAACAGACTTTAAAAAACTTTACCACAATGGTCTAAGAAATAGAAAACCGGCTTTAAAGGACTCTTTAGTTCAAGATAAGTTATTTAGAGGTAAGATTTAATTGGAAATTATAAAAATTGTATTAAAATAAAAATTTCCAATATTTTGAAGTGACTTAGGAGCCTTGATGCCATTTTAAAATATGACAGTTAGGTGCTTCGTATATCTAGCCCTAACTGTAACTTCAAGTGTTTCCATCCGAAATGTAGATACACAAAG